GTAATGTCGACGAGAAATATAAACAAATGTCATCGCCCTCCACTGGTCTTCTAAACGAATACCCAAAGAAAAGGTTCTTGGCAGTGTAACGCAACTTCAACAGTAAAACGTAGTTTAAAGAGCAATGGAATTACTACTTGGCTGCGCAGAGAAGTAATGTATCTACTGATGTAAAGCCTCAAGTCGTATGTCTCGGTACATAGTCAGCTAACTCAGAGTAATTAGACTGGATCTCTATCTACCACAGTATTTCTACCATTATTTTCTACAGCCATAAGACCAACTGCTGCATTCGTAATAGTAAACGGAATACACAAATTTTAACGTTGATGATGTTGGGAAATTTTTCCTCGTGGAATGATTATGTACCGCTATTTATATACATTTGAAAACGTGGTTCAGAACCAAAAGTATTCTTTAGGGTACACGCCATCATGAAGGATAATGGACCCACCGAGACTTTTATAATATATTTAATGTAAACATCGGAAAAACTGTTAAAAGAAAAATTGATTACCCATTATTGGTTGTATTGAAACACGTTTCCATGCATTATGTAGGATTTTAAGGGGCCACATCGGATAGATACAATTTTATTTTTTGTATCTTATTTTTGTTGAGATATCAAGGTGACATTTAGTCTTCTCAAGGTCAACGCATCTTTTTTTTTTAACACCATCATGCTATAGGTCACTGAATTTGTCCTTCTATCGATAACAACGTGGTATTAAAAAAAATGCGTTGACCTTGAAAAAACTCAAGATCACCTTGATATCTCGAAAAAACTAACATATAAAAAAATCCAATTACAATATATCCATCCGATGCATCCCTTAAAATGCTACATAATTCATTACAATCTTTTCTGATTCGATCAATAGGGAACGAGTCATTTTAAATAGTACAGCCTCCTCTCGATTATCGTCTGACTTCATCTACACGATTACTGTCCAGACGTTATCCCCATCACTGAGGGGGATAACGTCAGGACAGTAATCGTGGAACCTGTCAAGCGTATACTTTGTTAAAAAACGAATTTACAAGGGTCTGAAGCATTTCTTCCTACAAGATTATTGTCCCAGCGCGGACCCGAGTTCGGGACAATAATCGAGAGGAGTCTATAGTTCTTATTGACTCACCCTGTATCTTCCGACGTAATATTACGTTTCGCGGATGCAAGTTCCCTTGCAATCCATTTTTGTTTCCGTCTGAGTTATCCGGCGGGGTTTGCGTTCTTGCTTCAATTGTGGCAACGCGTCTGTTTATAAATCAGTATGAAGCGTGGCGCGCGCGCGTACGAGGGAGGGCTTCAAAGGAGCCATGAAGACGCGGAACGGAGGAGACGTCGCGTGTAGATAAACGTGCGAAAAGCAGCCGACGACGCCTACGTAGTACACACAGAGTGCCGGCTGCTGTTGCTTCATCTTCCTTACCGTATCCGGGGCACTATTAAATTTTCATTTTAATCATACTTTGCGCGCCCGAAGCGATCAACTTCCGGGTGTTGTTCCGCTGATGGGAAATTCCGGAGGCGTTCGCGTGCCACGCTCGTGCGTGTCGGTCGTGCATGGAAGATTCATCGTTCCCCCGTATAAAGGTGACTAAACCGTCGATATTTATGCAAAGCTAGATGTTTTTTTGGTTGTATTGACAGAGCATGAAAATAGGATGAAAATTTATTTTTTTACAGCTTCTATGCGACTTTTCTGTTAATTTTAGGGTATACACTGTAGAGATGGGCAAATACATTATTTAGATAAAGAGTTTCGGAAAACGAATGGAGAATAAAAGAAGTACTTAATCATTTTTAATTGTTGCAGAGAATCATTTAATCTACTTTACTGTTAGTTAATTAGATTAAATGATTGGTAAGACAAAAATTTGGTAAAGATAAGTTTTTTTTTGCTACCTCTGAGTTCATTGTACCGTATATAATATAGTATTCGTAGTATGTATATAGGACTTTGATTTTAATGAAAAATCTGTACCTTGACTTTTGCAGATTTTATTTAATTGCTTCCACACTTTTGAATGATGTATACCCGTATATTAATATTATATTTTATATATATTTTTTAATTTTCTACCGTCATGTTTTTTCTTGCAGTGGATTATGTATAACGAGAATTCTTCTTTTTTTTCTATTTATATTTCACGGCCATCCATTTGCTTTCTGTACAGTCAAATAAATTTGGGTTACAGGTTACAGAGGGTGATTTAGTATCTCTGCAGCGTTAAATATGAAATATGTATTTGCCATTAAACTCATATGAAAGTTGTCATCGTGTTTCGTTATTGTGATTTACACGTGTTTATATGACCTGTAAATGTGTATATAGTGTGAAAGCGATGACCAAAATTATAACTATACATCTGTTTACGAACGAATGATTCTTTTACTTTTAAAAAAATGTTTACTTTAATATTAAACTTTGCCATTAGTGTACTAAAATGCATTCTCTATTCAATGAAAAAGCGTGTGTATCCTTTTTACTGAGTGTTCACAAATTCACATTCCATGTAATTAAAGCAAGAAATTGTAGAAATCCTATCAGTTTGCAAATTTAACTAACAATTGTAAAGTTAAGAAAAGGATATTAAATTAAAACATATATCTTCAATTCCAATGGTATACAGGTAAAAACGTAGTATAAAATTTCCTTAGGTAGCATTTTCATGGAAATGCACTAAAGTGACATTACGAAGAGAGAAATATTTGAATTTCATTTCAGATTTTGTAACGGTGAAAATTAAAATTGAGTTTTTCAATCTCAAACGAGATTTACATTTAAATAAGGGAGGTAATAGACTCGGAGATGTATTCCGTGATTAACAAAATATAACGAAGCGCTATAATCATAAAGATTTACTATACTCCTTTGTGCGAAAATTACAGAAAAATCGCAAAACTAGAGCGAATGTATTTACAATACAAATTTAAACAAATTTAATCATTCCGTTCCTGCCTCTTTTCGTGAATTGTTTAAAATTTGAGACATTTCATATTAATTTTAAACGTTTCAGAACGAAGTAAATTAAGTATAATATTATTCGTACTACTATCCGTTTGGTCGAAAGTTCCCCCAAGCGAAGTTGTTAATGTTCATTCATTTCATTCAGAGTTATTTCTGTAATTAAACGAAGTACAGACTGTTCGAATAATGAACGATATAAAATATTTCCATCGACACTCATGAACGAAAAAGTAAACAATACAAACACATCAATGACTTCCTTCCCCATTACTGTTGTCAAATAGAATCATCTTAAAAAGAATAACAATATAATACCGAACACAAAACACCATATAGGTAAATTTTTGAAAACTAACAGTGAACGAACATCTCAAATCCTATTAAACTAATTACCATGCTAATAGAATATTCTTAATTTTACGATCTCCTCGACAGCCGTCGCTTCCGTCACGGAACAGCCCCCAGGGTCTGCACTTCCTTTCCACGAGCAACGAGCGAATGATATTCGCGCGAACAGGGTAAATAAAGATCTCCCGAGGTCGTAAGATCCCCAGGGGAGGCACCTATATATATATACTAAGTCGTCGACGGCAACCCAGCCGGTCCTTTTTTTTTTCATTAGATTAATCAATTTAAAAGTCAGCCTCTCGGCGTGAATTTCACTTTCGGAGAGAGATACCGGCGGTCGTAATCTCACGCAGGTCCTTAAAAAAAAAGGGATAAAAAGAGAGAGGAGACACAAGGAGCGACGAGAACGGGAAGCTTTTTCGCATGCAAATCCGAAGAGATATAAGGTTACCGCCTTAAAACGCGCGGCTAATAAACCTCCGTGTCCCCGGTGGAGCACGGGAGGAAGATGGCGGACGTTGCAGCGAGAGGAAAATGGCGGACGAACGAACCCGGGGAGCGCGACAGAAACGACAATTCGAAGAATCTCGCGGGACGAGTGGGAATCGCACGCTGCGAGCGAATACGTTCGGGCAACCTTTGTGAAGGTGGCTGGAAATCTCGAATCTTCACTTGGGAAGAGTAAACTGGCAATCTAGCTGGGTATCGCGTGTCAATGAACCGAACTTTACGAGAAAGAGAAAAAGAGACAGTGTTTCAGGTGGGGTTGTATGCGACGAAGAGGAAACGGAGCGAACAGAAGCTGTCGGAAAATGAAAGGCACTGCGATTTGGTTAAAATAGATATTGATTTAACGTTTATCTATCGTTATAGTTACTCGAGATCCATCACTGAACCCTCTTTCTCCCTGATAGGACATGACGCCCAATGACGTCTTGAAGACGACTTAAAGGCGCCTTAGACCTAAAACAGCCGTAAAATGGGCGTCTTCAAGGCGTCATGTGGTATCTGGGCTTTTAATCTTCTTATTCTTCTCACTTTCTACTATCCTATTCATCTTTACTCTACTTTAATTCTATTTTATTTATCCTATTGGTTAATACTTCTTGACTTGAATTCACATGTTCACTTCACTATATTCATATGCGCATGCGTAACACGCAGAAATATGAAACATAACCTTACAAATTTATTTCGCGTCTGGGACCGATTTTCTTGGTTCGTTGGTAAGACCTCGAAAAAACCAATTATCAATACTTCCTTATTATTTCTTAACCCTTTTGCGACGGCGAGGCTGGGGGGCAGTGTGCACACCGTACACATTAAGAGTGTCTTACATTTTTGGAGTTCCCAATTTGTCTGTGTAAAATCTTATAGGATTTCGTTGATATATAGATATATATGATAAATAGATACCGCCACACGCTAACATATTTCCCAGCAACGCTGCCAGCACAAGCTAGTGTGAAGTATTTAGTGAATCCCGGATATAACTGGCGCTGTTCGCGAAAGGGTTAACAAAAACAAGGTCACTGGGCCACTAGACTCTCCGTAATTGGGTCACCCTATAGAATATTCACAAACGGTTCCAATCCACATTCGTATCCAGCAAAGAAATCCGTACATTTCCAAAAATTCTACGCGACAGTAAAGGTATGCGAAACGTGGAGTACTCACCACCAGCAGCGACACAGGTGATATTGAGAGAGGCGCCCTCGCTGTATGGGCCCAGCACGTAATAGGGAATGTGAGTCCTCCCGTCTTCGTCCAATATGCTAAGCTGCTCCGGCGGTACTGTAATAATTTCGCACAATGAGGATCGCTCGTCCTTTTCCCCGTTTTTCCACTTACGTTATCGCGATCCCACCCTCGGGCTCGTTGCCTCCCCCCACCCCCCCCCTCCAAACTACCAGTCGGCGGTTGGCTCCACAGGGCGAATCAATTTGCGCGACAATGAATTACCGCCGCGGTGTGTCATCCGCCAGACACTTTGGCTGCCATTCTTATCTGGCCGGCCGTTACCGCCCCTGTGGCGGCGCTTAAGAACCGCGTCGTGCTTATCATATGCAAATTGTTTTCGAGCTAGACAAGCGGAATTGAAATGGACGACGACGCTCGACCCCTCCGCACCAACCACCGTTTGGCCGATTAAATCTGCCTCGGGAGAGGGAGGGAATCGATCGGGAACGGTGATCCTTGGACCGATCGGGAGGTGAATTGTTTTCGGAGGAGTTATTTCACTAGGGAATTTCTTGTTTAACATTCATCCGAAGAGAATTTGTTGTTTAACCTTCATCCGTGCTTTGTGATAATTTGACACAGTTTTCTTCTGAGGAATGTTGTTATTTTGTTACGTGTAAGTAAATTTAGGTGAGGCTTAGGGGTTTTTCCTTTGAAGAATTTGAAAATTTAAGTGTATATTAATTGTTTGTATTAATTTTTACCACTGGGTCAATTTGATACCGAGGGATAAATTAAGGTGGCAAAATGAGGACGGATGAGGGTTAATATTAGAACTACCAAAGTAGTAAAAATGACTGGTTAGTATATCTTATAAGAATGATTTGAATGTTCCAAACAATGAATGTTCTCGAATCTTTTTTATATTTAACCCTGATCCGTCCCTTGTGTCAATTTGGCACAGTTTTCTCTTACGAAATGACGTTATTCTTTCATGTGTAGATCAATTTGGCGGACGTTTCATGACTTTTACTTCAAAAAACTTGAATATTTAACTATTTATAACTTCATTATATTAATTTTTACCACTGGGTCAATTTCACACCGAGGGATAAATTAAGTTGGGGAAATGAGGGACGGATGAGGGTTAACATTTGACCGGGCTAAAATTTGTTTGTCGATACCGCGGGACATCCAGGATCTGCGTTTGCACCGTCGACGGTCTAATTCTCGTATTTCCCCGTGATTTCCCGGAGACGACTTTCAGATAAAACTCCTCTTAATCGTTGCTCGCCGAACCGTGGATCCGGGTCAAGAAGGCCGGATCCACTCGCTGCTTGTTCAAGCTAATCGCGGAAAGCCTCGATCAACTCTGAGAAAATCAAAGGGCGACGAGAATGGGAGGATGAGGGACGTGAGGCTGGAACAACGCCGACGGAGAAGTAGAAATGGTGGACATCGGAGACGTTGAGAGAATAAGAAGGGAAGAAAATTAGCGAACAGTGGAGAGAGAGAGAGAAAGAGAGAGAGTGAAAGAAAGGTGTCGGAAATGAGGGGGAAGATACACTGAAAGTTGGAGGAAACGTGGAAAAAAAAGTAAAAGACATATGGTGGAGGATATAAGATCGAAACCGAAACGATAGAGAAATAAAATAATTTTTTTTATATTGTAAATGTAAAGATGAAGGACTCTATTTCGCAATGGATGAATTCCGTTCGTGTATTAGATGTATTGCGAAGTAATAAGACTGCTTTTTTGTCGAGAATCTTTGTTAGTATTGAATAATCGCTGGAACATCTGTTACTCGAAGTGGTTTCATAAATTTCTGTCATTGCTGTAGCGGAAATTGAATAACTTGTCGATAAAATAAAATAAAATGGCAGCAGGAACTGAAATATGACGGCTATTATTTTTTTGTACACCAAATATTGATCGGAAGCATGTTATAGCAATATGATAGGTACTTAACACAGCGAGTTTGAAAGAGTTTCAGAGGTTTCTGTATCTACATTCTTCTCAAATATTGTTTCCCTATTTCTCTTTGTACTGACAAATGTACTTTCTCAATGCAATGTGACATAAACATAATTATACATAGGATAGTTCATTTATATTCACTACCACACTTTTTAATGTGTTCGAGGATCTATGAATGATCGTATCGAGTAGTGATGGCTAATCAAACTGTTCGAAAAGTGTTCGGTCTTTTCAAACGTTTGAGACATTCAAACTTTTTGAATCGTTTGAGATATTCAAACTTTTTGAAACGTTTGAAACATTCGAACCATCCAAATCGCTTACAACGTTTCACTTATTTGAAACTTTGAATCATGCAAATCATTTAAAACATCCAAACTCTTTGAAACGTTTGAAACATCCAAACTTTTTCTAAGGTTTAAAACGTCTAAATTGTTTGAAACGACCAAACACTGCTCAAACTATTTGAACAAATTGCGTTTGAAAATATCCAAACACGTTTGATCTGTTATTATTGGACGAATCGCTAACAAGCTGTGCATACCTATAAATCGTCTTTTCAACGAAATAAATAAAGAAATAATATTTATACAAGTTTTATACTCCGTAAAGAAGCTCGTCTTTTAAGATGAATAAAGTACGCCTCTAAAGTGTGTGCACCTGTTTCTGTTGCGCCATGTAGAACAGAAATTACGATTCCTTGTCTGCGGCTTACGGCTGCTACTGTATTCTTATTCAGCGAGGAATAACCGGAAAGAAGAAGAGAAGGAATCGGAGCGGAAGGTATAATTTATACACCATTTTTTTTCTCCTTCAGATAGCTGGGAGAAATGTGTAATCGGCGAGGCAAAGAAAGAGAGCCCGCGAACTGAAGTAAGAAAAAAGTGGAAATAGGAATATAGCGGGAGGGTGAAGGGAGGGCAAAGAAGTTTCCTCAAGAAATGGTGGGTAAGCTCAGCGCACGGACAGGAATAAGAATCGGTATACCTGACGTTCCGCCTTTCTTTTGAATTTGTATAACCTTCTACCGTTTTCTCCGTTTGCATAAGGGAAGCGAGGAATAACCAGGAACAGTGAAGCGAGAGAAACGAAAGGGGTGAAGTAGAAAGTAACAGGGGTTTCATGAAGATTGATGGAAGAACGTGAACGGACTGTGAATTTTTATGCAATTATAACCTGACAACGTGTACAAAACGGAATAAAGAAAGTATCATAATCAATGCCTACTAAATAGTATACTTTATTTCCAATCTATCAAGACTTTCCATGATGAAAATATAGTTATTTGCAAGTCTGTTTCGTATTGAATAGTCCAAAAGAAATCCATATTTACATAAACATTCACAGTCGAATGAAACACTCATAGTAATTATATAATACAAAAACAGCAAGAAAAAAGAAAGATACGTTGAATTTAAATTATATAGTAACATTTTCGTGAAGTATATCGGGGATTAATAAATGGTGCATATAATGAAATGAACAAGTAATGATATTACGGGTATTTGTCCTGCTTAAGATAAGAAATAAGGAACAGAGAATTAATGAAATGGAACGACGTGGACTCGGACGAAGGGAGAAGGAAGTAGAGACTTGTAGAGAAAAGAGGCCAGTAAATTACTAAGTAAAGGGAAATTTAAAAATATTGCATTATCACGTCAAGGGAAAGTAATGGACACAGTGGGTTCAAAGGATAGGAAATGGGAGGACGAAAAGATTAATGGAGAATGAAACAGACGGACGCAAGGGACGAATGGAGTGCACATTCAGTCGAGGATAGAAAAGAGAAAGACAGAAAAAAAAGAGGATCAAAGAAGTTCTTCGTGAGAGATTAAAAGAAACGAGTAACGAGGGAAGAATGTAAAAACAGCATCTGCTGAGATGGACGGAAATGTGGATAAGAAAAGAGTGATTTTGAGGAATAGCAATGAGTATGGTACAAGTTTAGGTATGTAAGAGTAAGAAAACTGTGAGAACAATTTAGTGACGTGAGGAAAAATGTTCTGGTCTGGTTTAGATGCAAATGGAGTTGCACGAAGGTCGACGAAATTCGAGTCCAAGGGAAGAATCTTGGATTGTTTGACTTTTGAAGTCTCAACAAGATTTTAAATAACTGAGCTTCTGAAGATTTTGACATTTATATGTCTGTATCACTTGCCAAGTTTCTTGTGTCATAAACTTTCTAAAATCCTGGACTCTTGGACTTTGGGACTTCTCGAGCTTCATACTCTTGAATGCTTGAAAATTTAAATTCTTGAACACTTTCAACTCAATTCTGGAGGCATTCGAAGGTATTCAAAAAATTCGAGAGTTGTAAACTTCAAGAATTCAAGATTTCTAGTGTCCAGAAGCTCAGACCTACGAAACGTTTTTTGATCTTATGACAGAAAATGAAAAATCTTGTATGCATTTTATAGTCCACCTGGCCCTTATTAAAAGTGAAAAATCATAACAGCCCGTATTTTTATTTAGCCGAGATACAGGCAATCAAAGTTGGTAAAATGAGTTATATTGTATCAAATGACGTATTTTTTTATTACAAGTACTTATCAAAAATCAATTGCTTCTGTCAAGGAACTGTATTTTGTGAATATTGTCTCGATTCAATATAGTAGAAGCGACATTTGTCGTTTCCGAAATTCACACGAGCGTAAGTCGTTGACGGATAGTCGCATCGAACACCTGAATTACTCAAAAAATATACTTAAAATACAATAAATATTACTTATATTATCACAACAATACTGAACTACGTAGTACAAGTGTTAAAGATCTACTTCACTTAATATAATATTTTTACCAATTATAACGACCTGTATCCAACCTAAATAAAAAAACGGGCATCTACGATTTTTCATTTTTAATAATGGCTATGTGAACTACAAAAGCCACACAAGATTTTCCATTCTTCGATATAACAGCAAAAAACGTTCCCGAGTTAGTTTACCATATAGAATCGACTCAAAATGTCCCAAATTTCCAAAAACAACCTCTATACACTGCCGTGGTATCTAACCTATAATATGCCCTCTGTCCCTATATCATCGCCAAGAACTTATAAATAGAGATTAGGAGAAAAGAAACGGAATCTGGGAATGGTGGAAAGAAAAATCGAATTAAGGGAAGAAAAATCGAACAGGGGGGTAAACGTAGATCGGATTCGTTGAACACTTACTGATCACTGTGAGATTGACTTTGCTGTTTCTGGTCGGCGATTGCTTGAAATCGACCCTGCATCTGTAAACGGCGGCGTCGCTCTCACGGACGTTCTCGAGGGTGAGCTTCGCCGGGTGCTCGGTGTATCTGAAGAAGGCACGTTTGTCGAGGCTGATATCCTGCCAGTGTTTCCCCTGTTCCAGGTTGCTTCGTCCTCGTGTGTCGAAACTGCAAACAATCAAGGGTGGCTTGTGTAGAAAAAGAGGGTCGGAGAACAAATTTCGGGGACGGCCACCGCGGTTCGCAAGGGTTTGGGGTGTTTCGCGTCGGAATAAGAAATGGTGGGCGCAGTTGGTACGCTCGTGAACTGTCGAACGTGTCGTGTTTTGGCTTTCGAGAGTGTGATGGAGTGAAAGAGGAAGAACAGATCATTTTTCATATTGATTCTCGGAGAATTTCGAATTATTTCGGGGCGGGACTGTTTACATACTGACGCACAAGGACGGAATTTTGAATATTTTTTTTTAATTCTCTGTAATTTAGAGATTTAGTATATGTGTTATTTATGTTCATGTAACATTTGTTCTTTTATTTAATCCTTATCCGGCCTTCATTTTCATAACATAATTTGCTATTCGATGTCGAATTGGCATAGGGGGAAGAAATTTATATAATGAAGAGTTAAGTATGTAAATTTGCAAATTCTGTAAAATAATAGCATCATTCGTTAGGAAAAAATGTGCCAAATTGATACAACGGACGGATGAGGTTTAGCTTATAGATTTATTTAGTATCTATTATGTAATTTGTCTGTGTATGAGCCGTTCATTTGCCAATTCATTAACTGCACAAAAATATAAAAATATGAAGTATAGCAATATAAAAAGTTAAGGACTTTTTAAGTGCTTTGGAACTAGAACTTGAGAAAATTCAAAAAGCAGAGTTAACCATTTTGGCCTATTAACAGCTCATTTAAATTTTCTATATATGTACAGATTTACGAATTTCATAGTAGATGGGTGTAGAAATTGAGATGTTAAAATATTGGAAGTATGAAAATAAAATGCAAGACCTAAATTTATTCGTCAATTTTTGTTTAAATTTTAAAAAATTCGGTACTGTCAGAATGCAGATTGAAAATTTTGTTGAAGTTTAATACAGATTTCTGTGATATTTCATATGATATAATCGTTATAAGGAAAAATTAGTTTCTATCTAATCTCTGTTTTTCTAAACTGATTCGAGAATGCGAATTGGCACGAACACCTTATTTAATGAACATTGTACTCATTCTTTTGAATATACACTCACGTTCTTAAGTATTAAGACAATGTCTTAAACGTGACATTTCGTAAAAATGATATATTGTGGAAGATTTATAAAATAAATATGATTGAAACGTCTTTTCGAATCTGATACATAATCATGAACACCAAAACTACCAACGTTGAATGCATGCTAATCTGAATTGCATAATACATACACTGACATGAATAATATATACAATATTATATTATAATATTATAATATTACAATATATGTATACAAATACATACTATTCATAACATATACAATATAATACAATAGATTGTAATGTGAAATGTACAATAAATTAAAAGTCAACGTAGATTAAAATAAAAAGGACCTTAACAATTTTAGTAATTGCAAAATAAGAAAACTGAAATCCGTCATTTTCACAGATCTCATTGTTCCAGTGATAATACTTACGACCGAGATTCTATGCGAGCAAATTTTCGTGTTATTGTAATCCAACATAAAGAATTCATTTGTTAATCGACGCGTTCTTTCAATATTTCCACGCCGACGAAGCTGCCAATAAGCTTCTCCCACCGACTGTTGCTTCCTTTATATTTGTCGCAGTTTGTTATCCACGTTTATAAACGTTTTCCAGCAGCGCAGGCTTTCCGAGCGCAATATCGCGTAGCGACGAAAGAAAACAGACCCCGAAATTCGTTCCTGTATATGTACATTCCCGCCGCGAGCGAACCCAAGAGCTTTTCTGCTTTCTTCCGTTGCATGAAATACGAGGGTTTCATATTTAAGAAAGCCTCGACCGAGCTCGACACAGTGTTATTCTAATATTACACGAGATAAGGGAGATTTTAGCGTAATTATTCGAGTTCTGTTGTCGCGCGGTTTGCCTTCTACAGAAAGGATAATAAATCTCTGCAAAGATTATGTTACGATTTCCAACAGTTCTACAATTTATACACGACTTTCTGGTTTCTATTAAGTTTATTTGACACGTGAATCGTGCTTATAAATCTCTCTGTGCGGTAAGTACACGTTAATACCAGTTATCAATGAAATTATTCGTGACCAGCTGCACTTAGTCATCGACAGCGGGCAGCTTGGGCGATCGCGATACTTCATAAATCATTCGAAGATTAATTGACTGATTAACTAGTCCGGACACGGAGCCAAGTGACCAATTAGACTGTGAGGAAGAAAGTGAAAACGGAAATCTGGTACCTTGTGTCGAATTAATATTTCATTAATCTCTTGATGGATAATAATCTGTACAGCTTTGGTACAGAGGATTAGGCACCCCATTATATATGACTTTTTAAAAATTATTTTTATATTAGGAGGAAAGAAACTATTGAAATGTGAAAAGAATCGTTTTTTATTGATTTTTTCGATATTTTGTTGGACCACCCTCTGTCTCAGTGTCTGGCAGGCACAGCAATTTCTTTCTGATTTTTAATCTGTTTCTTTAATAAAGAATTAACTTGAATGAGAAAACTTATTAAGTTTCAAAATATTAACAGCAACAGTAAAGCACAGTTGATGTGTGTTAGCAGCGAGTACTGACAGCAGTCAGGGGACGGTATAAATCCATAAACATCTGTAACTACTAATCAGTAAGCAGATACAAATCTAGAAGTACCATTTTGCGCAATAGTATCCTTCAGTAAAACGGTCTGGAAAGTAAAGGACTACAAATAAGTTGGACAAGTTTTTAAAAAACAATCTTACAACTTTTGTATAATTACTATTTTACAGTTAACCAAAATAATAAAGTAAATCATCGATGAATGTTTGAAGGCTCCTTGGCACTGAGTGTTCAGACTGTAATACACTAATACAGTGGCCTCTAATTATATTGCCACTAAACATATTGCCACGCGTGGCACTTCCCCTTCACACGTACTTTCGAGCACATAAATTCGCTCTCCCACCACGTTGCGTACGCACCAACACGATCCGAGGCTATGACGATAGAACTTAGCATGGAGGGGGCTCTGAACTCATTGCCATTTTACTCCCCTACAGCCCCGACCATGGCAATATAATTAGAGTCCACTGTAATTCTTAAATTAGAATGAAAAAATAATTTTTGATCGCCTCCTTTTATTTTTTTCCTTATCCCTTGTATAGTCTAGACTTCTATATGAACATCGTGCCTAGGTTATAAAGACCAATAAATTCCGTGGACCTCTGTGAACCGATTTTCAGGTCGGTAAAATTCTGAACACTAATTCTAATTCTAAAACTAAATTCTATCACGTGAATTGCACGAAACGTACAGCCATATTCACGTCGTTATGAGGTCATACGTCGAGTTTTCTTTCCGAAAATTGGGACAGAAAGTTAAGGGTGAGGTGTGGGTGGAACTTTCATATTGGCCCCGACTGAACTCCGCGGGCGAAACGATCAATCGAGAGAACACCGTCCGTACTGTGGGACACGGTTATCAAGGAAAAGCAGAGTCGCTTAAAGATACTTCGAGCCACTTTACCGTCTAATATCTGGCTTTTACGCGACGGTACTTTTATTACGGGATGGAGGAAGGATGGGTATCCCATCGGTTGCGCGCCTGGGACGGTGATCTAACGAAATTTACGGAGTATCGATGGCGCGAGAGCTTTCTTAAAGAGATCAAAGCGCCGTGTCTCTCATCCCCACGGAGTAATTCCTCCAACGAGTTATTTACATTTCCTTGCTCTTTCCTTCGTTCCTATCCCAACGTCGTCTGGTCGCAGCCACCCTCACGGGAGACGCTATAAATACGCGCGATAAAATTGTTCACGGAACGATGCACTCCCCTTTCATGGGCGACTATTGATTGGCGGTCCGTGGATATCGATGTAAATTTTGCAATTCCTGGGTGGTGTTCTTTTCATTTCGGAATATATAACACCCAGCCATATGGTGAAAGTAGAAACGAAAGAACGATGGAATTCGTGTAGCGATTCTCATACGGGGTGCGGCCCAATAACATGTACATGCAGGTACGAGGTGATCCCTTATGAAAAAAATAAGACCAAATATGGAATATAATTTGTTCATTTAAGACTTAGTTTTCGAGAAAATCGACTTTGAAAATTCATCTGTAACACGTTTTATTGTGGTGATTTTTCACAGTGATCGATGATTTTTCGTGATCGTTTCTGATTAGTGGAGAAACCTAACAGTTCTTTACACGCGACACATAACCTGTATATTTTATATTGACGACATCAATACAAAAATTCCAGTTATAACGTATAAAGTGAAGGAATAATTAGAAACAATGAAGAATAATGAATAAATTAATGATTATATATTATAATCTATCTTCTTGTTTTTTTTACTAATTTTTAAAAACACAAATAGTAATGTAATTTATCGTAAAATCATATTGAATACATTTTTCTGTTTAAAGATCAAGGACTTACATTAACAAATTTGTTACTTACAAAAAAATCGCAATCACGGTCGTGAATGAAGTTAAATCACGACCGTCATAGTAGTAAGTAGAAACGGAATGCAATGAACAGACGCCAAGTCCTATCCAATTGTCCGCGTATCAAGCAGATTTCAAAGTCGATTTTCTCGAAAACTAAGCGTTAAATGAACAAATTTTATTCCATATTTTGTTCTTATGTTTTCATAAATCATTTTATACACATGCATTACAAAATGATCCTTAAGTATGCCTTCAAAGAAATGTGAATAAAAAATATAATTGATCAAGTACCTAAATTTTATTCAAACCCATTATAAGATAGATAGACTAACTTACAAAAACTACTTTACATTTATTTAAATAATCAGCATTTGTATTTTTTATATAAATTACGCCTTAAGGGGACACCTTTCCCGTACGTGTCACTCTGGCTGGTATTAATCGATACACTACGATCTGAAATTTCGCAACTGACACTATTATTGACCAACACAATGAAGGATCAGTGTGACCAACCTCTAATAATTAACCACGA